AGAGATAGAGAGAGAGAGAGAGATAGATAGAGAGAGAGAGGGAGAGAAAGATAGAGAGGAGAGAGAAAGAGAGAGAGAGAGATAGATAGATAGATAGAGAGAGAGAGAGAGAGAGAGAGAGATGGAGATATATGGGGATACTTGGCTTTCCCTCTTTCATATTTCATAGAAACAAAGCTTGGTATATATAAATGTACATGAACAATAAGAGCGAGATCACTGTTGTCATGATCTACGGATTAGTCTGGCTCCATATTTGGTAATGATAAAACAAAAAACTGTTTTCAATTGATGTTAACATGATTTACTACAAATATCAATTGTTCAGGGTTACTATGGATAAAACACTGAGATACTGCCATCTGGGCCCCCGTTTCATATAACTTGTAATCAATAACTGCTGCCACAGATCTATATGATAACTCTGCTCTCAGCCAATCAAATGTCACAATTTCAGTAGCTTATAACACTTATTGTAACTTGTTATTGATAACAAGTTTTATGAAACATGGCCCTGGTGTAGGAGATAGCTGAGGCAGTGATTACACACTGTTTACCTTGCTACTGACAGCCACTTGGTACGCTGTAGGCCACACTAAAACAATCAAGTATAAACCCTTCATACTTTTTTTTATCTACATATATTTTATTCACATAATATTCATAATATTCTGAATGAGAAAACAAAAAAAGTAATGTTAAAATTAAAGAACTAGCATCATAAATCTGCTATTTGATAATAACACAATACATATCATATAATCATATCTAAAACTCTGACATTAGAAATATGGAAGGGTTGATCCACTCCCATTATCGCCTCTATTCACAATTAAACATAACTATTCTTTAAAAACAAGGGAAACGCTCTCGGCGGTCTCGCCTGCATAACGCAATTCAATATGATAAACCAGAACGTCAATGACGTAGCGCTCATCCGCATCTCACAACAACAAATATCGTAAATTTTATGTGGTACACTTTTGAACTGGTCAAAAATAGAAATTTGATGCCCTGGAAGGGACATAATTTCATTTCATTTGCATAAAGTACCATAAATAATCAATGGAGCAAAATCTCACAATTCTGTGTAGAAGTTTATTGTTCCAAATTTAGCTCTACCAGATAAGGCAAAATCGGTCAAGAAATGAGGGAAAAGAAGCAATTTTTGTTATTTTTGGAATAAATTTGCATAAATTACCATAATTAATTAATGGAGAACAATTTCAAAATTCTGAATAGAAGTGTAGTGTACCAAAGTTAGCTCTACGATATAAAGCAAACCAAATCAAAATCGGTCGAGAAATGAAGGAGAAGAAGCCTTTTTTGTGATTTCGAATAAATTTGCATAAATTAGCATAGATAATGAATTTCACGATTCTGTGTAGAAATTTTAAATCCCCTCCTAGCCCTATCATATGAAACAATCAGAATCAAAATCGGTTGAAAAATAACGAAGAAGAAGCATTTTGAAAATCTTAATGTTGATGCCACAACAAAGTCTAAGTTTGTTGACCTTCAATGGCCTTTGACCTTAACTTAGTGACCTGAAATACTCACATGATTGGAGAGACTTGATAACCCTATAGTCCAAGTTTCATTGACTAAGAACTTATACTTTCAAAATTATATCAAAAATTCAAAAACTTAACCTTAGGTTAAGTTTTCGATGATGATGCTACAACATAGTCCAAGTCTGTTGACCTGAAATGACCTTTGACCTTGACTTTGTGATCTGAAATTCTACTCACATGATTGGGGATACTTGATTACCCTATAGTCAAAGTTTCATTGACTAAGAACTTATACTTTAAAAATTATACCAAAAATTCAAAAACTTAACCTTAGGTTAAGTTTTTGATGTTGACGCCGTCGCCGTCGCCGCCGCCGTCACCGGAAAAGCGGCGCCTATGTCTCGCTTTTTGCTACGCAGGCGAGACAAAAATCAACAAATCTATTTGATCAATATAAATAACATTTATACCAACTACTATCAAGTCTTAAAAAAACTAGCATATTTCTCATAATCAACATAGATTTACAATAAGTGATGAAGGTAAACCACTCCTCTCCCCCTCCCCATTAGTAATTTTATTAAAGTCTTTTTTGTTGTTTTTGTTAACATGTATGAACGAAATGCTTGTACCTTTCATCTTGAAACTTTATCCATATATGACTCATTTTTTGATTATGGAAAAATTAACAGTCTATGTCCAGCAATCAAGTTTTGAAGAGATTTGGTAGGATTTCTGAATCTGTGAATACATAATATGCCCAGGCACTAATCCAGGAAAACTAAATTTTGGAAGAAAAAAAATATCCTCAAAATTTGATTGTGAGAGGGTAAATTCAAATTCATTGTTGCTTAAATAAAATAAAGCCACTTTTCATATTATTAATTTTCAAAATTATCATTAAATTTCATACCATGAAAAGTTGAGTTACCCCAGTATTTAAATCTTTCATGAATAACTTGTCAAAATTGGGCGATTTCTAGTCCGACCAATATGGTAAAATGTGAGGTTCAGCTCAGACTCGGAACAATAAGATAAACATACAAAATATACATATGTCCAAAGTACAGATATTTTGGAGGTTGGCATAACACGGACAGCTTGTACTTGTGAGGAGATGGTAAAGGCTTTCGAGAAATCAACTCAAGGGGTGATCTCAATACCCTATTGTATGCCCCATAGAAATCATGTTCAGATGATGTAATATGTCATGTAATGTTCATACATTGCAAAAAGTGACGTACAAGGAAATAAAGATCCCCACGGGTTGATTTCAAAACAAGGAAATGCGACCATCTATTGTTGGAAATCTCCTGCAATATTTATTCCGTACATAGTATGGTATTGCTAAAACACACCAATGTTGTGATGGTTATGAATGTAACAATTAAAATCAACAGCTACAGTATGTAGCATCTAAACAGTTACCCTTCGTTACTTACATCAATCAGAATTTCTCTTTAAATGCTAAAAAGTAAGTTGTACAATGACAGAAGATAAATAATGCAAAATTATTGTAGTAAATACATGGAATACATCAATCAAGTTTTAAATTCATGAAATGTAATATACATCTGTAAGAATATGATAACTAGATGGAATTCGACTGCGCGCAGTCGAAAATGATGCCTCCGTCATAGAGCAATTTTACCAACCAAAACAGAAGAAATATTTCAAATTCAAGTTCATTTGTAATCCATTAACAGGTTCTCAAAATATCGTGATTACAAGCTATTTTTGCATACATGAGCCATGACCTTTGACCTCATGACCCAAGAATCTACTCGGTTCATTGGCTCTGCAAGATACATACATGATCTAAGTTTGGCAGGAATCCATCAATCTGTTCTAATGATAATGCGATCACAAGCCATTTTTGCATACATAATGAGCCACGTGACCTTTGACCTCATGACCCCAAAATCTAATCAGTTCATCGGCTCTGCAAGTAACATACATGACCAAAGTTTGGCAGGAATCCATCAATCTGTTCTTGAGATAACGTGATCACGAGCTGTTTTTGCATATATAATGAGCCCTGTGACCTTTGACCTTTGACCTCGTGACCCCAAACTCTAATCAGTTCTTTGGCTCTGCAAGATAAATACATGACCAAAGTTTGGCAGGAATCCATCAATCTGTTCTTCAGATAACGCGATCACGAGCCGTTTATGCTTACATAATGAGCCCTGTGACCTTTGACCTTTGACCTCGTGACCCCAAAATCTAATCAGTTCATCGGCTCTGCAAAATAAATACATGACTAAAGTTTGGCAGGGATCCATCGATCGGTTCTTCAGATAACGCGATCACGAGCTGTTTTTGCATACATAATGAGCCGTGACCTTTGACCTTTGACCTCGTGACCCCAAAATCTAATCAGTTCATCGGCTCTGCAAGATACATACATGACCAAAGTTTGGCAGGAATCCAGCAATCGGTTCTTCAGATAACGCGATCACGAGAACGGGACGTACGGACGTACGGACGGACGGACAACCCGAAAACATAATGCCTCCGGCTACTTCGTAACGGAGGCATAACAATGTAATATTCTCATTTTTATCATAACTCAAAATTCATACACTTTTCAATTAGAATAGCCCTGCGAATTAAAGTAACAATTGCTCTTTCAAAACCTCAAGCACAATCTTATATTACCATAAGATTCCATTTCAAGTTGTACTTCATCACAAAACATGTAAAGATCACTTCAATAGGATGAAAATGTAATAATAACAGTATGGATATAAAAGATTGGATCTGACTACATCACAACTTTTCGTATAGTAGTTTTCCCACAACTATCTCTTTATTTTCTTTCTAATAAACCTTGGACCGTGACTCCCATAAGTTTATTTCTGATTTTAAACCACAGACTGAGACATACAATATAACTGCGTCTTTTATATTTAAAAGGAAACCTAATGATCTTCGGACATTTGTGTAATATTTTTTCTATAAAATGACATCAGATAATGATTGTACTGTAACGTTAAAACAAAGCGGATAATGATGCACAGTATTTGAACTTAAAAACGAAGGCAAGGAAACAAGTGGAAATGAAAGAGATAATTGAACGAAAAGACACAAATAGAGAAGAGAAAAAACAGTCAAGATAATCTAGAAAAAAAGGGTGATCTGACATCTAAATTGCACTATAAGGTACCAAAGTGTGATGTCATACTGGCCAAGTTGTCAAAGTTGCTGGTTCCAAACAAAGTGTGCTATATAATGGTGTGGTGATCACACCAGACCCAAATACTAAATTTGCCTTGCTGCAGCCCGCTGCTTGAATGATCTCGCGGTGAACCTCTTCGCAGGTTCTGTTACTTAGAACCAATAACCTGGACGACAAGCAAAAATGACATTAGTACTTTAATAGGTACTCTATGGTATCAAGGTTGCTACTGGGTTTTAGGTTAGGTTTCGGTTCAGGGGTAGGATGAGGTATGGACTGCAACTTCGCAGTTGAGACTTTGACTAGAGTAAGAGAGTGATTGAAAAGCAATGCATTTTCACTAGAGCATGAGTCATTTAAAGATAAAAATATAGGAGAAATTGTACTTCACAGAAGCACAAAATATGAAAAGAAATGAGATTAAGAATGGAAAGTAAATGTCACGACGAGATCAAGCATTACTGTACATGAACACAATGAGGTAGATGTATATTACTCAATTAAAAAAAAAATGCCCAGAAGGAAAAAAGGAGACGATCAAGAAGGGAAAAAGAGAGAAAAGATAGAGATAGTAGAGATGGTGAGAATTATGAGAACATCAACAACAACCAGACAACATTGGTTAATGATAAAACGAGGAGAATAGGATAAAACTGAAAAAATACTAATGATTAAGAAAGACAAATAAGAAAAGAAAAAAAAAAACAGAAAATAAAAGCAGAACAACAAGAGAAACTCAAAGTTTGAGCAATATCCGATTGAAAAGATATATGAATTTTTCATGTTGTCATCCGTGAAAAACCCATTGGCAACACTCTGACGTATCATGCGAGCTCTTCTCCAATTTTCCCCGTACAGAAAAGTTCATAAAAGTTCATTTTCTTAGTTATTGATGATGGAATAGATTTGTTTCATACAGGGGTTGTATTAACATTTTCGACTTTTAATCATTTTTTGCTCAAACTTTCACTGACCAGTTCCTCTCATGTTTCTGCTTATATTAAAACCATTTTAATACCAGGGTGGAGTTCCCTTTACAATGATAAAAAGCAGGAAAAGAAATAAACAAAATGAAGGAAAAGCTGAAGAAGAAGTGACACGCTTTATACTCTATCAAAACTGCCTTTGCCATCACACAAGTTGAAGAATGTGAATGCGACAAGTCTGACCGTAAATCTTTGCTAAATTGGCAATCACAGCTCGCCGGAATACCATCATGTGCACCAAGCTAATTCAGGACATTAACACTGTTTCCAAAGCATGCTGGTCCAATAAACAAAAGCAGTGACGGAAATAACTAACCACCTCGTCAGGAATAGTATAGCACGATTAAATGATTGCTCATATAAAGAATTGCTGCACCGGCGTGTAAGAATTTTGCAGACCAGTGCAAACAAGATAAACAAGCTCTATATCAAGTTATACCTACATGACTTCATGTAGAAAGAAACATATATCAAGTACCGGTAGACATTTGAGATGACATTAAGCGATTTGAAATTCCCCATAACTTGCATATTCTGCCCTTAACACGATAGCAAATACTTCCGATAACCTAAGGTAACTATTGAAATGTACGAACATGACAATGACGTATGTAATCCTAATATGATTTCTATGGGACATACAAGGGTATTGAAATGATGTTTTGAAAGATGTACTAGTTGCGATCACTTTTCTAATGAATTTACAAGAATTGTCAATAACATATTAAGAGGATCGAACAGGCGGAAAAAACAACAACTCAACTGTCTCATGGATGCATTATTACATACCAATTACAAGTATATATATAAGTTATAATATCTGTAAAGCGCTTAGACACAGTATTCCATATCAAGCGCGATATAAATCCAGATTATTATTATTATTATTATATTCTTGAAAAATGATTTGATAGAGAGCATCTAAAACACAACTTACAATTACTCACTTGAATTCATGGCTTAGGCAACCCCCAAAATAGTTTCTACAAATGTTATATGCGATTTATTACTCATATAAATATGCAGATTTATTACTCATATAAAGATTGATCACTAAGATAATCATGACTACCACAATGTATTCTGATAAGCAGACAACATATAGTTTGAGAAGCTGGATTACAGGGAATAATCTACACTTTCTGAAATGATAACCATCTCCATTCAAAAGTCTGTTTGTGGGACAGAAGTTTCTACCACCCTGATTAAAACGTGATGCAATGACATCCGGAAAATAACTTTTTGGAACTATTCTTGATATACTCTGCAGAGCTTCTGTATTAAACTTCCAGAAGATGTTATAGGAGTAGTATACACTCAAGGTATACTTCATTGTATAAACATGCAATGTTCACCTTATGCGCACCATCTTCTTCCCCTTTGAGGCTAATATGAATTGATGTTTTAGGTGTTCACAAATTGACACCATCAAAATCATACGCAGAGTACACTATAGCTCTGGGAGGGAAGGGGTGAGGCTCAACTTGTCCTCTTCCATATGCCATTTAAGTCTCATTCTGGCACAATATTGCAGATCATACCCAGCTATACATGAACATGGTTAAACTGTATCCTAGGCCCTTAGTAACACTGCACAATGACAGAACAAAAGCATCCTTAGAATATGACAAATTCATTCTTATATAGCAGTCACCTCTGTATAAAGGTTGCCTATTTGCAGCGGATCGGTGGCCACACAAGTGACACAACTCCAACCTTAATTGGAGCTGTCGCACTCTATGAGAATCATAATTTCCATAAAATGTTTAGACTGATTTCACGTCAACATTAAGTCACCAAATCTTCTGGTAGTAGTGATAAATACATGTAGCATAAATAAACTACAAAGTGGTTGTGACAAACCTTCATAGAAAGTTCACCTGTAGATATGAAAACCACTTTTATTTTTCACCCTTGGGTGACCTTTAACAGCAATATACATTGTACATATATAAATATATAGATATCATACATCTTTTCTTCTGGTTATTCCCTCATAGAAAAATTGGGTGTATCTGCCTCATGGTGAGTTTCTTACGACAGGTCGGGCATCGGTGCTGTGTTTGGATGCTCGCACGGATGCAGTGACGACAGAACACGTGACCGCAGTTCGTTGACATCAGCTGCTGACCGTTGTTCCGTAACTGAAAAGAATAATAACAGAGATGATTGATAAATCATTACTGAAAAATCAATATTTTTAGGGGAAGTTTATGGTGTGCTTTCATGACAGTTATAATATGATCATAATTTTGTCTATCCAGGGAAGCTGTTCTTCCTGAAGTTATTATCACCTGAGCAAATGCAGCGTAGCCTTTTACACCTGGGTGAAGAGTGGCATATGTGGATTAATGTCTTGCCAAAGGACATTAGTGACAGGCTGGAATTCAAACCCTCATCCCTGAAACTATATCTTCCCCAAATCAATGGTATCTCCTGTAATCATTCAAATCTCCTACAATAATTAAACAGGATCTTACTGTTTAATATACCCTGTTTATTCACAAGAAATAGCTTAATATTATTTTACTTTCACAGAAACAAACAATTCATGGTAAGAGAACACCAAATGTAGGAAGAGGGAGGGAAGATACTATAGACTTTAGAAATTGAAAGTAGATCAATTTCTATGTTACAATATTTTTGAATTCATCATATCCTCTCCTCCACAAAATACAGAACTATAAGGACTCATCTTACATAAGTTGTAGTTTATCTAAAAGTTCATGCAGTTATCAATATATCATTACTTCCACTAAAAACCAAAAATATTTATAATTTCTCACTTTAAAGCCCCCCTGACAGTACCCACCTTATGGCAAGCACATGTAGTCAGATATGAATGTGACCCATTGCCTAAATATATGTCAAGCTGCTTGATTGAACGTAACAAAGTTACTCAATCATCACACCTCAAAATCAAAGCAATGCATATTGTTGGAGTTCATTGGTCTGTCATCTTATTATCTTATTATCCCTTAGTTCTTCAATATAGCTCCTGGAGAGCTCAAAATGGCTTTCAACATAAGGAGCACTTCGCAGGTATTCTTCCAACTGTGTTCACAAGCTATGCACAGGTGAACACAGGAGGTGTAATAAGTAAATGTAAAGAGTGACAGAACATGAGGGTGTCGTAACAGAGTTATCAGTCTATCACATCTCACAGGTCATGGGGTCATCGTATGCCATGGCCTGAGGCATCGTTTAACAACGTTTCCAGTTTTACAAATCTGAGATGCATGGCCCTACCTGTCATCAGTGTCTGTGATATGGTATAATATTTGATCCCTAAAAAAAATCAAAATGATCATAAAGTGCCGCAAAAAAGTAAAAAATCTTTGAGTGACCGGTTTTACCATACTCATTTTCCCCAATAGACTGTATTATTATAAAACCGTTGGGAAAACGGTTTTTGAAATTTCGATTTTCCAATCATCAATATCTCAATAATCAGACAGAAGATCGGCTTGTAAAAGTCACGCGATTCCTGACTGACCTAAAGGTCTATGATTATGAGCTAAATCCAGGATTTTGTTAACAATCTGAGGCAAAGATACCCAATCCCTACTTTAAAGCCAAGCTTCAAGATAAACTCCAGTTCTGGTAAAAAAAAAGAAAATTAATTCTCACAGAATCAAATGAAACTTACACTGAATGTTCAAGATTACAAATAAATGACATATGTCAAACAATTTTGGAAGAAAATGTATATTGGCTGAGTAATGAGCATAGAAAGACAAGGAAATCAAGGTAGTACTACCCCCGACACCATGTGTGTTGTCCCATATATAGCTTTCTGTGTAAAGTGCTTGTTACTTTACCAAGACTCGGTCAAATTTATTATGATTTTGATGACTCCAGAACCTTGCAGTGCACACCAATACTTACATGCTACATGATCAACCATTTCTGATCCTTTCCACACCTTTTCTTTCACAATGCAATCGCATTACCAGTACTAAAGTTTATCTTTAATTTCTCCCATGAATTCTCATTTGAAGACAAACTGTCTATAATTATTTGATATCCAATGAAAAACAACACATATAAAACTACTGCAAGAAAATCGAGCTTATTGGATAAATGGAAACACCAAACTGGGGGAAAAATTGTGAAATTACACAGATACCTAAAATTAAATACAATAAAAAAAACAAGCAACAAAAAAAGAAGGTAGATAAAATGTTGCTCATTCTTGTTAGCTCTTGTCATTGAATCAACATAGAGGTACATGTACACCCCATATAGTATGCCTAGAAAACATCTCCATGTAAATTATAACAGAGATTGCTGGGATTTCTCCTTTGACATCTCTGACCTGCTTTCAGGATGACCCACGCCCCACTGACCACTAAATTGGCAACTCCACACCTTCTGACCAGGTGTGTGCGATGACAGGGTCAATCTGACCTGTTATTTGATACCAGGCTTTTGATTTGTATAAATCGAGTGAAGAACTACCTCTCAGATATAACACATGGTGTTGATGCTACCTACGGTCTATTTTATTCAATTTGAGGCAGGACAGACTGAGCATGGTAATTGATTGATATAACTTTCAATTCAATCTACTTATTGCTTTGAGGTCATATGTTGTAGGTCATGAACTCTGACCTTCTTTTATAGGAATACCCACACATAAATCTGTACTTGAAACCCACCCTTTCCATCTTGCTCAATTTCTTTTTAATTTGAATTACCATAACTAATGTATTTGTTATTGTAGTTGTAAGTAATATGTATCATACCAATAATGTTTTGACCTCTGCTTGTATAATCTTGAAATAAATAGCATATAACATCTACATGTATTATGTTTCACATTTCGCTAGCACGTGTACAGTACATCACAAATAGAAAAATTATGTAAATCACAAGCCTATAGCATATTTAATAAACAGGCCACAGTCACAGTGGTATTTTCTACTTCCTAAGAGGTCCTCAATCAAATCAATACTTCATACAAGCTAGGTGAAGAAAGTCTGGAAGGAAAGTGAGAAAGCGAAAGAGAGATACGGTAGGCTTGTGGTTGCACCATGTGAGAGAAATAGAGAAAGAGAGAGAAAGAGAGAGAGAGAGAGAGAGAGAGAGAGAGAGAGAGAGAGAGAGAGAGAGAGAGAGCAAGAGCACATTTAAATTAGCACAAGTTTGTTCTAGTTTTTTTTGTACTGTATGTAAAGTACTATGGAATCTATGGTTCATCTATAAGCCACACATAGAGGACAATGTTTTCTTACAAAAGGTTTGTCGTGTATAAATGAAGAATAGATGTGCCTGTTGTATAGATCATGATGTACCTATGTCTTTAGCCTATGATGTAGAAACCAGATACTGCTCTCCCCCTCTAATTGCAACGCCATACCTATATCCCGTCCACCTACCCCACCCCACCCCAATACCTATATCCCCCTCCCCCTGTCCCACCCCGATCCACAAACAGCTATACAAATGTAGATGTTAACTAAATTCAACTTACCGGTAATAACTTAAGTTAACTACTTTGGCTGTTAACTAGACGTACCAATATTTGTGTGTACCAGTATTTTTGTTCTAACTCCACTGATCTATGTTATATGCAACTCCTTTTAAAAGTGCATTTAAAAAAGGCCTCAATTATCTGCTTATGTTCAACAAAATGTTTCAAAGAAATATTTTACTATTAGTTGGAGGCTCAGCAAACAGATTTCAGCCTTAAAACACACCTGGATAACAGATGTAAAACTCCTTAGGATCTAGGGTGAAAGACCATGGCTGACTCCTTCGTGTCTAATTCTCAACAACGTTCTTGTCGTTCTACCTCCATCACGGTACACGTACATATCACTTTAAAGTGATATAGGAGATATTGCAGTAAAAGTTCAAAGAATACATGGAATTAGCTGAATTTGCAGATTTTAGTCATTTGGAGGAAACTGAATGATCCTACATTCATAAGACATTTTGATTTACTAGTGACAAGGAAGACCCAAATTGTGGGTTTACTTGAGCTCATGGTATAAAACATGGCTTAAACTGTGATCATGTATCATGACTAATTTGTACAATTAATAATTTTAGTCAATTACTGCCCATATACTGGGCATGAGGACCCTCACGTTTAATCCCTTGATTAAGTTGCAAGATAGATCACTTATTTTTAGTGACGCTTCCTTTAAGGTTGAGGAGTCTGCATCTGCATCCCTCCCCCTCCTAGGTACCTCCATGAAGGCATCCCTTGACTGCGGTATCTCGGGAGACGGATTGGAAGAGACAGATCTGGGATAAAACCTTGAGCCAAGATGGAACTCACATTAAAGCCACATCAATATTGACTGTTTGCATACAGACCGGAGAGAAAGAGAGAAGGACAATCAAGGAAAAGTTTCCAAGCCTCGATCATGAGATGATCCAACTCAGTATGTGGCATGATCTGTTTTGGGTTGGAGATGCTCTGAATTGTTGTCTGTTTAGGCATGTGAGGGGTGTGGAGTGGGGTGGGTGCGGGGAGGGGGGGGGGAGGGGAGGGGGGGGGGAGGGGGGGGGGGGAGGGGAGGGGGGGGGGAGGAGATGGAAATGAGTGGGTGGGATGGGAGGGGTAGAAAGTGTGTACCTACATGTATAGATTTGAAATAAAGCATTCAGGCCTTGTTTTTAACCCCTCCATACATGCAGATAATGAATGAATGAATGAATGAATGAATAGATGATGATGATGATGACGATGTGCATGATGGTGATGGTAGAGATTGCAGTGGTGGTAGTGACAATGATGATGATACTGATTTTGATGGTGGTGGTGGTGGTAATGATAATGGGGGTAGTGGTATTTAATAATTTGAATACGGAAAGCTGTGAATATTCTTGTCAAAATTATCAATTAATCCAAACAAGTACGATATTGACAATCACAGGAAGTAAAACAAAATGCCAAGGAATAAGATGATCAGAATAATATCACTTGAACACCAACATCAAATATGACAGAAAATGTCAACACAAATGCAATCTATGAACAGATAAGATTGTACAAAATTCAAAATTCAAACCAGGTGAAATCCACTACTATACATGTAATGTGAAAGGTTACTGAAGCAACCTTCTCACTTCCACTCCTATACAGGCCTAAATAGTTCAAACAATGTAACTTGCTGCTAAATTGCCTCCCTGCCCGTCTCCTTAACATGTTTCATGAAGCCGACAAGACGTCCACGCCAGGAATGTTAGAATGTAAGCCCTTGATGGATGGATGCCTGACAAAGTTCACACCTTCGGCTTCGAGGTCATTGCCAAGAAACCTGCCCAAAGCCTGATAAAAGCACCCTCCACCTGACAATTAACCAACGACCCAGGGGAGAGGACATGAACGCAACATTCCATGCTGGATTCTCACTCAGTCCAGGTAACTTATATGTTATAGAATAAAAAAGATTTTATAGGAATATTAATACATCATTGTTATATCTATGGATAAGGGAGAGAACATGAATAGAATATTTTTATACTGGGTCCTCCCTAGAGCTAATGCTAGAAATAGCAAAGTTGAGATTTGCAGGAATGTTCCTACATGTAAATATGTATATGTGTTTATTGTGTAATGACTTTTGAGAGGAGATGTACGACAATCTTTACTGGGTTCTTACTACTAACTTCTAGAAAATCAACGTCTGGAAGTTAGTTTACAAGGAAGTGGCAGAGTTAAGATTTTGTATGAATGTTCCTGAATGGTTTTACGACTAGACTCTAGGAGAATACATGAACAGAATTTCACAGGAATTTTTACTATACAATTTACTGTATGATGTGTAACATCAACGCTCTGTCTTATAAAGAGTTGATATAAATCGCAACTTATTCGCGATTGATATCAATTGCAACTATGTACATAAGAGATAGGTGACTGTAAACTTGGGATTGATTGGAGGACTTACGATTGATTTGGATGATTGGACCCAATTGTAACTCTTAACTCTGTAACTGATTCTGCAGGAGGTGGAATTTCTGACTTCCTAGGAATATATTCTTAATGTAATTGTGGCACAGATGCTACAAGATAGGCCTACTACAAGAGCCATTCACACAGGAATACATTTCCTAAGAAGTGGGTATCGTTCACAACAAATTCTTTGATCAAATGTATGGATAGATACTCTGCAGTTTGAATCCATAGTGATACAATGATGGGTGGAGATGATGCAAGAGATATTGTGTGGCCTGTCTCTTAAAATTCTTGCTTTAAAAATTCTGCATTGAGGTAATGTTTAGGGGTTCATCAGTTTGTTTTAAAAATATTATATTTGTGGAGGAACTGAAAATGGGGTAAATTTTTAGAGAGTTTATGAACTGTATACTCAGACACATAAAAGAGACAGAGCTCTCTAAACATTTAATAAAATGTCCTCTTTGTAAAATCCTTAAACATAATACCACAATGCATAAGACCTTGACTGCAGTCCCTCCATCATAGATCATGTTTATATATAAAGCATTACACTCCATTTAACAGTTTAAAATATTTATGGTGATAGAGCATTCCCAACCTCTATCACTGCGCTAAGATAGCCAAAATAAGAGCCTCCCGACTCCTCGTACCCATCCCATCATTGGACAAACAGTCGTCCTCGCGAAAGGCCTGTCTTCATCAGCTCGAGATTGCCAAATATCCCACTATTTGAACTATCCCGATCGCAAATTATCCAGTTAATTTGCGTCTTCATCAGCCCGAAGTTGCAAGTAGCGGGATATTTGGTCGAGATAATCATCCCAAGATATCTTGGGCTAGTTTGCAAAATATCCCGCTATTTGTCCAGTGCGTTCTCACCGGCCCGAAGACTCACACTATGCGCAAACGCTGAGCAAAATATCTCTAGCTAATTTCTCGAGCTCGAGTTTCAACTTTCGAGGAAGACGCAATTTGTAACTTTGGGATTATTTACCAAATCAGAAATAGCGGGCTATTCGGCAATCTCGAGCTGATGAAAACAGGCCCAAGGATTCCCAGACCCCCCTGGGACAGAGAAGACAGGTGCATGTCTTCTACATCATCTCATTCTTAACCATCTTGTTGTACCATCATGTCACGCAGCTTCATGTGTTTCTAATTGCTTCATGATGTCAAGAAGAGTTCTAAGGCTACATTCATGCCTTGATCCCCCATACTAGTCTACCTAGTCAATAGGCCCATTTAGACAGCAATATTTTTTTTCTTCTTATAGCACACATCTCCACAGGGTCTACTTATCATAGACAATTAGAAATGAAATACATGTACATGTAGTCCTATAGAACATTCAAAGGGTTAAACGCAGACTCTCACAGAATATTTAACTACTTGCCTTGTTAGGAAAGTCATATTACCACAATTTGAATGTTAAATATTGGAAGAGTCATTATGTCTCTACACGATAATAATAATAATAATAGCTCACATTTATGATTCGCCTAATACTTTGTTTCTAGGCGTAGTAAATATTATTACCCTGGTCATCGGATTCAGGTTTAACCGCACACAATGTATGTACATTATCCACTCCCTGGGGAGCATGCTTGCCAGTCGCCATTTTACAAGTGCCACTCACTCATACCAGTTCTTTAAAAAAAAATCTCTTACATGTATATCTTACAAAACAAAACAAAAAAAGTAAAAGAGAAAATGTCACTGAGTTTCACCTCATCTCATTCAAACAAATGAACAAAACACTAACAAAACACAAACAAAACACACACGCACAAACACTTAAAAATAAAAGCTATTGACAAGTTGAACTGAAAGATAATTAAAAAAACATCTGATTCTGCATGCAGTACCTACACACTAGGATAATCTTGCAACTTAGATCTTTTCAATCTCTTACTTTATAAAGAAGATGTAGATTCAAAATTAAGACAGAACGAGGAAGTGGCTTGGCATACCAAAGAAGAACTACAAAACTAAAATAAAATATCCTATGATGTGTTTTACCCTAACATCGTTTTATTTTCTTCACTGGACAGGCAATGTTACATGTAAAATAGCACCCTAGCAATGACCAAGACTGAACCACAGATGGCAGTATTGCATTTAACATGATGCAAATCTCTAAGAGTGCTCAATCTCTACAATGGCCATGGTGCTCTCATCTCTTTAATAGCACACAACAAATCACGTCATGAAATTCTTCAATCAAGAACCTTAACATTATCTAACCTTTACAATTTAAACCGATATAACCATTTAAAATTTATATGAGTTACGTTTGTTGTGTACTCCAAAGTTCCTGAAAAAATGGAAGGGCCTAGGGGCTCCTTCTCTTGAAAATTGGTTAACTACATAACAAAGTTTAAACAGCAAAGAGTAGCCCCTGAAAAAAGTAGCCCCTGAAGTGCAAAAAAAAGCCCCTGAAAGTTGAAAAAGTAGCCTCCGATTATTTCCCCAAACTTGGATATAGAGCCCCAGAAATATATATTTTTTTTGGGGGGGGTCACTGTCATATGGGGCGTAGTACTGCTCTGTAGCACAAGCTGCAGATCTACATTCAGCTGTATAGTATTATGAGGCTGTTTAACATCTCTTCTGGGAACCTAAAAGCTTGCCATGCACTCTCAAAGCTTTGTTGTGAAATAGGCAAGTAAAAAATAACTTTATGACAACATCATTTCATGTAAACTTTATGCGATTCAAATGACCACCAAAAGTTGATTTTGAAAACTTACTCAAACTAATAAAAGCAAGTATAGTTTTCCCAGCTGGCTATGCAAATGATCTAACTAGAAGGAAACTGAACTGATGAACTTTCTGCCCTAGTGTACTGTTTATTGCACAGCGCCATGGTCACCTTGCCAACAATGCTCAACCCAAAACCTAATTTCCACTTGGCAAACAGTTGTTACAGCCAAACTTGAGATGGCGCTTGAAGGGATTTTACAGTGGTGCTTCTAGAACAGCTGCTTTTAATGGCTTTTAGTAGTGGTGGTAGTCATTTTACCTGACTGCTAAGAAAGCATCTAGATACTTGGTAGTAAGCAACCAGAGGACCGAAAGCTTTAGGTCCTCTCCGCGGGACCTGGTAATGAGGATTAATGCAAAGGTCAATAGCACATCAAATTGGTTTCGAACCTGGGTCGTCGGATTACGAGACCACTGCTCTACTAACTGAGCTATTGCGCTTTTAAAGCAAGTCTAGTTTTCCCTGCTGGCAATGCGAATGAAACAGTCAAGGAAGAGGCATGTAATTAAGGTAGGACGTCATGTTACTTACTGTTGTCTCATCTTCCATACAGATAGGGCATGTGATGACTCTCTTCTGTGGTGTGGCGTGTCGCCCTCTTCCTGGACCTGTTGCTGTACTGTTAGGTGTCTCTGCCCTGATTTAAGAAAAAAATAAAAGGTTTGTAATCATTAATTTTTTATTAATCATTAATTTTTATTATCATATATGCATGATTTATTGAATAAAGAACAGATTTATATTTTGTGTGTTTATTATAAGTTTTGGTTGGTAATTTTTAGTCAGACAATGGTACCCTTAGAAACAACCGTATTAAGCGCCTAAAAAATGTTGTGTATTATCATTATTATTATTATTCATTTATCTATTAATCAATGCATTCAGCCCGCAAAATGAGACTTTGGGTGACTGTAACACATAAGTTTGCATTCAATTGGAAAATGGCAATGGCCAATCAAAATCATTAATGCATGTACACACATTTTGTTCAAAAGGCTGACCATCAAGGGATCAGAAATACCATATCAAATTTGCAATTGATCACAAAACCGTTGGGGTACAAGGCCCTGGCCTCGGGATAATCCCCAGGGGCTGGAAACTCTTTCAAGGGCAATGTCGTCCTGGCTCGAGGGCTATAAAAATCCAGCGCGTTTTTGGCGAAATCATCCAATGACGATGGAAAACGCCATTTATTCAACAACAACAACCTCCATTCCTCATTCGCGTTCAACGCTTCAAGCTGTGCAAATCAAGACATTCAAGTATACTACTACAGTTGCCTCCTGTGTTTCATCATGCCTCTTAAGAGAAGTGCCAGAAAAACTACCAATGGGAAAGCAGCCACTAGTACTACCCGAAGACCCCCAAGCTCCAGCTCCTCTGAAGGCCAGCCAGATCAGGCCCAAGTTGCTAAGCCTCCTGAGCCTGTCCCCTGTAGATCTCCACACTCTGCCTCAGTAGATGATGGAGAGTCCCTGGGTTTTGTTTAGCTGACGTTGTCTTCCTCTCTCTTTCACCATTAATCTTTAAAAAAACCTTTATATAGTCTTATCCTTCTCTTTTTTGGACTCTTGGTCTGTGCCTGATTTAGTTATTGCACAGCATAAGAGTCCTCTAATGATGTACTTGTAATGATGTATACTTATTTTTGTAATTTTTAATATGTCCTTTTTGGAATATTCAATGATGATAGTTATTTCATATTTGATATTTTAACTTATGTGACTTATTTATGTATTCGTTACTACCATTTTATGATGTATATACTTGATTAAAATTTAATATTATACCCAAGAAAGGTGTCAGTCTTCGGACTGTTTGTTCTTGATTTTTGATGTGATTTGCTTTGATTTCAATAAATCCTATATATAGGAAAACCAAGACTCACACCCATCTAACCCTGAGCAAGAAGAAGCCATGTTGGAATGGCTCAAGGCCAATGAAGCTAGTCCTCTAAAACAAAATATTTGAGGCCTATAGGACACAAAGAAAAAGGAACTTCCTGTGGCAGAAGCAAGCAGAGGTGATGGGTGTTAACAGTGAGGAGCTGATAATCTGGTATACCAGTCTGAAGACACGCTACACCAAGCTAAGGAAGAAGTACATTGACGGCTTTGGAAGAGCCCTGAAAACCTATTTTTTTTCGAGGATCTCCTAGAGCTGCTTTGTCCGTTGCTGGTTGGGAGGCTGATTCGACATGATGAGTGTCTGTTTGTTGAATTCGTTATATGTAATGTCAATTAATTTTGTAGGTGCAATTGTAGGTGCATTGGTTAACTTTCTCATAAATATCTATTTTGTTATTTATTGTTGTATTAATGTTGTTTATATATTCAAATTTGTTATGATTGTAAAGCGCATAGAGAAATTTACAATTTATTATGCGCTTCATAAATATTCTCTATTATTATTATTACATTATAGGACAGCGAACATGAACGCACGCGGCTAATTCAGTCTCTGCTTTTTAACCAAATGCCATCAAAAAGCACTGAATTTGCACATATCTTGCCAACACAATATCACCAGTTGATTTCTTCACATCTCATTGAGTTTTGGACCATCAAACGGACGCCAATTCATCTTGCCTTCGTGATATTTTGCAACTTCTTTTGCAACTATGACGAAAAAGATGGCGGCAAAGACCAAGCACTGCGTAGCAGCGTCATACAGTTATCCGGCCGCGCCTAGCCTGGGACCTTCGGCATTCGCTAGCCCCATCTTTCACAAGCCTGACAAGGAGACCCCGCAAAATTAGCGCAATGGCAAAGCCACACCACCATCAACCGTGGTGTAAAAATCCACGCCAAGCGTAGCCCTGACGGAGGCCCAGCCGACTGAAGGGTCTGATTTGACGACAGCGATAAGACAAGAATTACATAACCTTCTCTCTGATACTAGCTTCGTTACATACCTGGTCTCTGCCATCAAAACAATGCTCATGGCAGGCTCGAGCAAACCATTGCGGAACGGGTAGCTGAATACCTACAGTTCGATGCCAACATCTACACCAACAAGAGCACATCATTGGAGCAAGAGATGGAAACTACAAGTTAACATGGATGATGCCGAGCAGTATTCGTCTTGGAATTGCTTGATTTCTTGCGGTGTCGATGAGACCGTCAACAAAATCACGAACGAAGTTATCGCTCAAATATGTGAGGATAGGCTTGGGGTGAAGATCGACACCAAATCAGACATCGATCGCTTGCATCCCCTTGCAAGCACACACTAGGCGAGAACCATCCCATCCAAAAACTAGATCGGTTCTAGTGCAACTAATAAAAAACGTGAGACACCACAACGCATCATCGTTAAATTTGCAAAATATCATAGTAGAAACAAGGTCTACCGTGCCAGGATATGCACTGCCAGCTCATATAAAATCTACATGCTCTCAGAACGTTTTCAAGAATCTCTTCTCTAACTGTTCTGTCATAAAATATGCTGATGACACAGCTATATGCGGTTATCTAAAGCATGGGTCTGAAAACTAATTTCAAGAAGTACAGTTTTGTAAAATGGTGTGATCAATCAAATCTAGTCCTCAAGGTACAAAAGACAAAGGAAATCATCTTTGATTTTCGTCGCCCTTTACATTCTCATGAGCCTATTACTATTCACGGACATACCATAGACCAAGTCCCAGAATACAAATATCTAGGGAAAATCATCGACAACAACACTGAATTGGAATTCAAATTCACAAGTACTCACAAGAAAAGCTAATCAACGGTTGTATTTCCTTCGGAAATTAAGGGAATTTAGAGTTGACAATACCATCCTGGTACTATTCTACCAAAGTTTGATACAAAGTATCCTTACTTTCAGTCTCACGTGTATGTATGGGAACCTGTCAGATGAGAATGTGAAGAAGCTTGATAGAGCTAGGAAAGTTGCTCAGCGAATTACTCACACAGAGTCGCCACAATTGGTGCTCTGTATGAAAAGAAGGTTCTACTGAAGATTCCTAAAATAATGCAAGCTTCTTCTCATCCACTACATGAGCTTTTCAAGTTCAACCGTTCTGGTTTATGTCTAACATTGCCTAAAACAATACGATGTAGATTCAGACAATCTTTCATTCCAAATGCCACACACATTTTCAACAATTCATTTTGATTTTGATTTTCTTATTGAGTGTATGTACTATGTGGATGGTTTAGGTGCATGCATGGAGCCAGGTCATAATCTTTTCTCCTTCTCAGTCTTCTCTCACTTCACCTGAAGCATTGTTTTGGGTGTGCATCTGTACCATTCTACCACTTTTTTTCCTTCTTATTCATTTCCTTATTTATCTCCTTCCTCTATCTCTAATGCTGTAAACATGAACCTGACTTCACGCATGCCTGCACACATACATGCATACCGTAATTAACGGTGTATTAACCGCCCTCATGTATTTATCGCACCCCTCTTTTTCACCCTAAAAAAAAAAAAAAAAAAAAAAAAAAAAAAAAATCGGCGGCGGCAAAAGGTGCGGTTTATACACCATTAATTATGGTACATGTAATTGGTATGTTATGCTATGATCACAACCTTATTGCATGCCTTGTCATGTTAGCAAGGTCACTTTCATGATAACTATTTTTGAACAATTGTTGTCTTTTGCCATGCTTATTTTGATCAATGTTAATATTTCAAATGTTGCTATTAAGTGCAATAATGTAACCTATAGCAGTAAATGTCTTCAACTCAACAAATTTGTATATTTGAGAAGAGGTGCATTTATCTATTTAAAGGAAATAATTGTCTTTTATGATAGTTTTTAAATGCCATTCACTCTGTCCACAATGATGCGAAAACAGTAATCTTTTAATTGATGAATAATTTAGTTTGAGTGCATGCATTAATGCCAGCTGCTTGTTCTTTCTCCTTCCCGTCTTCCCTCACTTAATGATAATAATAAGAAACTTTGCTTATAAAGCGCTGACCTCCGAAGTCTCTAACTTCACCTGCAGCCTTATTTTAAGGTGTTTATCTCTCCCTTTTCTACCAATTTTTCTTATTTCTCTCCTTTCTTTTACACTGTATCTCTATTGTATTCATGTACCAGACTTCATGCATGCCATCATACATGTTTTTAGTATGTTATGGCCGCTGTCCCATCACACTGTGTAATAGCTAGGTTCCTTACTCAACATAATTTTAATTTTCAATATCATTGGGTCTATATCTAGCTTGCAAATGTTGAATGTCGATGAATCATTGTTTGTCTTTATACCACGGGCAGTCACTGTTCTTGATAGCCTGTACTCTACCTCATCTCTTCCCTCCCAGAGCTTGTTTTCTGTCACCTTCGCTCTCTCCCTCACATTTCCTTTTTTTTCTTCCCCATGTGACTCCTCTCTCTCTCTCTCTCTCTCTCTCTCTCTCATTATAAATGACATATATGCTTCCAAAGAGAAGGACATCGTTTAACAATGTTAAATCTGAGATGCACGGCCCTACGTGTTATCAGTGTCTGTGATATCGTGTAATATTGAAGCCCTAAAAAATTGCGCTTCAAAATGATCAAGAAGTGCCTCAAAAAAGTAAACAAATTCAAGTAACTGGTTTTACCATACTCGTTTTCCCCAATAGACTGTAGTCTTATGAAAACTGTTTGGCAAACGTTTTTCAAAATTTGTAATTCCAATCATAAATATCTTGATAATCAGACAGGCGATCGGCTTGTAAAAGTCATGGGGTTCCTTCCTGACCTAAAGGTTTATTACTATCATTGCAGCATGAGCTAAATCCAGGATTTTGTTTGAGAATCTGTGACAAAGTTAACGGATCCCTTTAAGCATCTACCCACCTGGCTGTCCTGTAGCTCTGCCCGATGTCTATCTCTGGAAGGACCATGATGTCGTTCTCCTCATCGCTATCGTCACTGAGGATAGGTATGATGTTACCACGTTGAGAGCTCCTCATCGGTCTCCCTCTCCTGCTCCGTCTCCTTCTCCTCCTTGGTGCTACAGGGAACAAGAAGACGTTCATTCATAAGTCATTTTGACATTTCAGTAGATTGATAGCATGTATCTATGTCAGAGAAGTACACAACTGATTTTTTAGAGGTTTTCTTCATGAAGCTCCACTGCATAAAGAGCTTCTTTAAAAAAAAAATCTACAAAGTGGCAATTTCTATATGTTTAAGAGATTTGCGAATATGAATATCTGTTGTCATTTATACCATTTCCTTGCTCTGAACTGGTCTATTGTTGGGTAGGACAATAGCTGACAAACAAGATGCCTCCTGGTCAACTACCAACTTGATGTTGGTAGTGGAATGTTGTAGTCGAGTGGTTTCAGCACTTGACTTGAAATGCAAAGGTCATGGGTTTGATCCCCGACATGGCACTAATGTCCTTTGGCAAGGCATTAATCAACATTTGCTACTCCATACACAGGAGAGAAATGGGAACCTGGTATGACGAGAGCCTTTGTGTGTGTTAGTAATTCCACATGCCCTAATGGTGACCATATGGTAGGAATACTCCCCAGGGAGTGGAGATGGTGCACATTGTACATAAATGAATCCGATGACTAGGTTAATAAAATTTGTAAAGGGCTTGCAGACGATATTTCGTTTTAATCTCTATATAAAACCAGATTATTATGTGGTAGTATTCAAATATTTATTGTTCCCATCAAACAAATTTCATTATTTAGAACTAAATAAAGGAATATGGAGGAACAGTTTTCTACCTCTCTCTTCTACTGGGGTATCTACGACAGACGTAAGATCAACGATGTCATCCTGAGAAAAATTTCTTCGTGGTCGATTTCTTGTGGTTTCCGTCTCATCCGTCAGGTCCACAATGCAGACAGGTATTGACAAATCAATCGGTTCTGTGTCAAAGAAAACAAAGAAAACAAAACAAACATTTCAAAGTAATTATTTACTTGAGGCAGGGTTTGTCCCAGGGTAAACTAAACATTTTGTGTCGTTAATTTCACCAGTTGGCCCTGTTGCATAAAACTTACCAACGGTGGTCATTTTGCCAATGATGGTAACTTCCATGAAATTTACATGTAGGTTTGATTGGCTGTTGAGTGATGTTGCCATGGTAGTTAATATTGAAAACAAAGTTACCATCAGTGGTAAGTTTTATGCAACAGGGCCAGGGTACTAAAATCTGTCATTTGTAAAGGGCTTAGAAACGATATTTCGTATTAAGCCAGATTATCATTATTTCTTCTACCGGTAAACCAAAGCAGAACAAACTCAGTAATGGTTTTAATGCAGGCTCAAGGGCATGTATGAACAACATTTCAATTGTAAAAAGCTAATATTGTTTGTTTTAAGAAAGCTTAGAGAACGAGGAGGAAATTAACATTGTGTAGGAGTCAATGCCCTGCAGGGGCCAGTTTCTCGAAACCGCCACAAGTCTTAGTTCCTGGACATCCCATAGAAACATGTGTAAATTCTGTAACACTTATGACGGTTTCGAGAAACGGCCTCCTGGCTCCCAGCAGAAGATATAGTAGAAGCCCCATCTTCATTGTGTTGAAAAAGCAAGAAGAACCACAGGGCAAAATACATGTAGAGTGTAATTCACTTAGCCTTGAGTTCTTGCCCATTTATCATACCATCTTCAGCGATTGGCGGTGTGGATGTCTGTGGGGTAATGTCCACGATCTCGACTGAGCCGGAACTTGTTCTGCTTGTTAACCTTGATGCCCGTAGCCTCGAGCGAGGGGGGTGTTCATCTTCGTCATGGCTTGTGCTCGCACCCATACGGGATGAGTGTCTTCTTTTTCTTGAGAGAGGTTGAGTCTGTGATAAAGAGGAGAGGGTTATTATTATCAATTTGGCGCAACCTGTGCCTGGGAGACGAAAAGTGAACTGAATCACTGTAACCCTCTGGTCTCTCCTCCTGGTATAACTGATTGGGGGTAGAGGGCAGATATTAAAGCCAGACTACAGGAAACAGTAACATTCGACTGAACAAGAACATTTTGCCAAGGCAATAGGCTTAGAATCTCAGGCTTCTCCATTAAATGTTGTGATTGTGATTGTAAACACAACTTGATATTGAAATGCGTGTATCTTCTTTAAGTCGGCCAAATTTTGTATTTTAATATTTCAGCACTTATTCACTCTGCACAAATCGAGTACCATTGACATGACATATATCACAACGCACACCTTTCCACAGATCTCAAATGGCATGCACACAGAACAAAACACACACACACAATAATAAATAAAATTAAAATACCAAAATAAATTATAGATAAATTAATGAACCCAAAGTAGACAATGACAATGACAAGGCCTAAATTTTAACTACCAAATATTCCTCAAATTTTGTTCATTTATCCGATCTGTGACTGTTCTACAAAATGTTTACTCAAGTCATGCATTGTCTTTGAAATTTGAGTCTTGCTCTCGATCGTTACCCGAACATGTCAATGTTACGTTGGGGCCTGGGTTCACGTTAAACTCGGTCAGTATTGACATTTTGTTCATTTGAATTTGTTAGGTGTAATTATCTCCCGGCGATGACGTCGTATTCAAATCTGACAGATCTTTCTCTCAAGTATACGCTCTGCTTAAATGTTAACTATTGTAGTTAAAACAATTCTTTATAACGATAGAACTTACCCTATCCATATTTTTCTGAGTCGGGGCCGTTCCTTCGGATTCGGCGAACTGTTTTCTCTGATCTGGCCGCGCCAGCTGAGTCAAAGTACAGTGCGGAGTGCAGTGAGAAGAACATGCTAAGTACATTTTATCGACTGTAGAGGGCATAACTCAAACATTAAAATGCAAAATTTAAATGCTAAAACTCTCTGTGATAAAAGTGCTAAATTATTGTTTGCTGCTTTTTGAACCCGCATTTACTTGTACAGTTTTGTTTGTTTCTCCTTTGTTAGAATTCAAAGGTATATGTCTATCTAAAAAAAGGGGAAAAAGTTAATTATGTATATATAGCCAAAGACAAGCAGAACGTTTAGAAACTGAGAAATTGACTAAATGTTTTAGTTCAGTCAAAATAAAAAATAAATAGAAAATTGGTAAAGGTAAATTTGTTCGTTGTATTATAGGAAAACAATGATTGGTCTTTTGAATTTTCTGTTTTCAAAACATCTTATTCATCACAATGTTGTCAGAATTTGGCTAAGTGCATTTTCCCCTTTTTCATGACGTCTTTAAAAGATTGTTATAATATTTTTGGGGGCCAAGGCACTTAGTGTCCCAAAGTTCACTGTCTTTTAAGTCTACTTTATCATTTCTGTTCCTGTTCCTAACAATTTTCCCCAGTCTCTCACTTCAAGCACGAACCTAGAAGGTCCACGCTTCAAGCCACAGGCTCATCTCCTTCGCATTCCTTATTCGCATTCCCCTCAAACAATTATTTTTTTCAGTGCAGATTTTCCAAACCTTCCCTACTCATTCTCTGCAGTTTGAACTATCAATAATGTTGGCATTTCTGGTGCGAGCGTCATAGGCGTATTGTAAATGCCCTGATGATGATTTCAATGTTAAATTTGTTTCTCTTTATTCCATATACAAGATATTGCATACTTGCAGTTGGGTGTGATGGTATGAATATTCACTTGCGAGCGAGCGAAGTAAATTTTTAAAGATTTGTGAGGTTGCAGGGCCAACAAATTACACCTTTTATTAAGAGGAAAAAACCCAATCCTGATGGAGTTATAAGCACATTCTCATAACGGAAGACTGAAAAGACCTTTGACAAGTTTATTGTATCATTAATAAATGCGAGCGAGCCTTGTCAAAAGGGGGTGATACAATTATTATTAGAAAATAAAAGGGGCATGGTTGTGTCAAAGTACAAAGGGTGGTTATCAGAGGTGAAAATGAGATTTTTCTTACACCTGAAAAGAGGCACTCACCGGGGATGAAAAAAGGCCCTTATGATAATGAGAAATGGGCATTTGTCGACGGAAAAGGGGCACCCATCAAATTTTGATAGGGGCATTTATAAGAGGTGAAAGGGGATAGGTCCCTTATCAGAAAGGAAAAGGGGCACGTATCATTGTTAAAAAAGAAATTATCTGAAGTGAAAATGGGCCTTGACCAAATATGAAAAGGGGCATTTATAATAAAGGGAAATGTGCATTTGTTGAAAGAAAAGGGGTACCGATCAGATGTTAATAGGGGCACTTATTAGAGATGAAAATGGACAATTATAACCAGGCACGTAGCCAGAGTTCGATGTTTGGGGGGGGGGGGGCACATGCATGTAATCGATCGAGGTAAAAAAAGGGGTCTAAAAAAGTTCAACCGATCTTGGAAATTTTAGGGGGGGCACGTGCCCCCCCCCCCCCGTGCCCCCCCCCCGTGGCTTTGTGCCTGTAGGAGGGAACACGCATATACGTACCCTAAATAACACTGAGTGGGGCGCACAAACCCGATTTCAGAGAGTCCAAGGGAGACTTGTACGTGCCTCCCCCCCCCCATTTCAGACAACCCTGTTTATATGTTTTTGAGTTTTCATCCCCGGTAAAAAACTTTAGAAATTTTAACGAAAAGTGCACCGTGTTATGAATTTGACTCAAAATATTAAATCCTCGTCAGTCTGTATCATCAATATCATCATCATGATTACTATTACATGATTACATGATTAAAATGATAGTTATGAAGGGAGATTTTAAATTTTAACCCCCCCCCCCCCCACTCCGGGGTCGGAATGACCGCATGCGGGTTACCAAAATGTCCGGTAAAGGGGTACTTTTCATGCACCAAAGTCCGGCTCGTTCATACACAAAATTGACTTACACACCGGACTTAGGGGTGTTTTCATTACCAGGCAAGTAGCCAGAGTTCGATGTTTTTTTTTTTTTTTGGGGGGGGGCACATGCATGTAATCAATCGAGGTAAAAAAAAGGGGGTCTAAAAAAGTTCAACCGATCTTGGAAATTTTTTTTTTTTTTTTTTTTTTTTTTGGGGGGGGGGGGGGGCACGTGCCCCCCGTGCGCTCCGTGGCTACGTGCCTGATTATAACGGAAGGGGAAGGGGCACTTGTCAAAGTAAAAAGACCATCTCTCAGATTTGAATAGGGGCATTATCGGAGGCGGGGGCACTTTTCATTGGTGAAAAGGGGCAATTATGAGCATGAAAAGGGGATTTTTTTTTTAATCGGGTAGCTTATCATAATGAAAAGGGGTACTCATTTACAAATAAAAGGTGCGCTTATCTGAGTTAACAAGGTTAGTTATTAAAATGGGAAGGTGCAACTCTCTGATAGGAATAAGCAATTATCAGAGGTGAAGGGGGGCACATATAAAAAGTGAAAAGTGGTAGTTCTCGTACCTGAAAAGGGGCACTTACTAGAGATTAAAGAGGGCACTTATGAGAATGGAAAATAGACACTTCTTGCAAAGGAAATGGGAACTTGTCGAAAAAAGGTGCACTTTTGGGGTACTTGGGAGCGCCGCCTCTGATCCACATGTCGCCGGTGTTATTGTCCAGGGTCTCATCTTATAAAGAATTGTGACTGATCCGAATCAATCCAAGTCCTCTAATTAATCGCAAGTTTGCAGTCTCTTATCTCTATCGATCTTTTATACCGTGTGAGTCGTTTTTTTTCAAATGTAAAATATACGTTACAATCTTTAAAAAAAAAAAAAACTGTATTATGCCCCCCCCCCCCCACCGTGGATCCGCCCCTGATCCCGACCATCCCATGATATATGCATCATAAAAACAGAAACGAGAATTTGAGAGATCGAGAAAAAAAATATATGATCAGCAGTAGTAAATTACTTACACTGTCTATTTAGCACATCCTGATTCATGTATCAATTTTCGACAGAGCCCCAGTAGTTTTCGCTGATCTCTTCTTTGCGTTCTAGTATTGGTAGCTGCGTAATAAAATTGATAGTCTACATTCCAAGTAATTCATCATTTGCATGAGTATATAATCGCCAAATTGTAATTCAAATATGCAATAACTCCACAATTTTTTTTTCGTATTTATTGATAGATATATTAGTAACATAAAAATTGTAATTACATGTTTAACATATTCTTTTTCAGGACTTCTCCAGTAATGTATTAATCAAAATGTATGAATCGCAACTATGTAAGTGTAGGCTGCCATATTGGCGAGGAAAATGCTAAGGAGCGCCTCTTATGTTTACAGAAAAACATTACGAATTTACGTCGTTCATCGAAGTAAATCGAGTCTTGAAATATTTCATTGTATAACTATAATATCACGGAAGTAGATTGAGGATTAATCATGAGTTCTTCTGACAGCAAACGCTCCAAAAGACGGAGAAATAAACGAGGTGGTGGGAATAGTCGTCCAGCACCTGCTACTGCTAGCAGCGGCAATGCTAACAACACACAGACTGCTAATGCGAAGGCAGATGGGCAGGTAAGCGAATGTGCGCTGTGTCTGTGTGATTATGATAGAGTGACTGACTGAGCTGAGCTGAGCTGTGTTAGGAATGTTGATGTTTCTATGATTTGCCGAAAACTAAAGGCTCAATTTGACACTCCTTGATAAAGTAGAGTCGTAGTTTAAATTGAATGACTGAGGCCAGTGAGGGATGAAAACGGTATGGTAAAACTAAAAAGTAATAAACGGTCAACAGTAGGGCCAGGGGCCAGGGGCGCTGGTCCGAGAATGAGGATCGTCCGCACAAACAAGGGTATCCTCGTAAGCGCGGACAAATCGCGTCCTAAAAAATAAGGGGCGACCGCATTTGCACCCACGATCCTTATTACCTATCTGCGTATTGGCAATGCGAAAAAAGGTTCCGTGATGATGCTCCATGAGTCGACACTTGTCTCACTTACGCAGCAGAGAGACTTTCACGTTATGAACGATAAATCCTTCAGAAGACGGACATCTCATAAAAGTAGATTGTTTTTCGCATTGCTAGCGCATGGATCGGTAACCCTACACCTGCAGAATGCCGAAGAAAAACAAATGTTCGCAGACGATCCTTATCCTCATTAATGCGGACGATCCTCATTCTCGGACCAGGGCCCCTACTGGTCACTGCAATTTAATGGAACTTGTAGTTGGACATATTGGAAGGAGATGGAACATGTCAATGAAAAGAGAGCTTGGCTCCTTTTGCTTTGCAGTGGAGTTCCACACTTATTGATATCGTTTCATGTCATCGTTTTCCAAAGTCTTGTCAAAATATCACAATTAAGAGCAATAATGCAGACTATTTTGAAGATGTGTCTAAGTAAAGAAACTTTTAAATTGTATCATTCTATGAAATAATGAGTGATGGTGTAAACTTACAATTTAAAGATTTTTTAATGAAAAAAAGTATTATCTGAAAGTAAAATGATCTGTTCTCATGTTTCTCTTTGCTGTAGCGCTGGACATAATGACTAAAAAATATGTATGTTTGTAGCAATCTGGGCAGCATTTCAAGTAGACCAGCAATTTTGTAGACATCCCTTTGAAATTGCGTATTAAACTCACACACACTTCAAAACTTCAATGGGATGTTACCAAACTTGTTCTTGTGACTATTTCGTGAAGCGATGCCCTGGTAGGCTGGTACAGGTATCTATTTTGATACCTGTACATGTAGGCTGTGCAGAAAGACTTCTGAAAATATGCTATTTTGCTAGCTGATTTACCGATTTAGTGAAGAAATAGAAAATGAAATTTACTTCCTGTTATTGCATGATTATTTTGATGAGTCTCCTGTATCTGTAAGCAGAAAATTTTGTAAATTCCTGTCTTTCTTCAATTCATGGTTCCTATTTATTTTTCATCAAATAATTTGTGTCCTTTTTCTATCTTTTCTCTCTCTATCTGTTCCCCATTATAAAAACACAACAACAACAACAGAAAAGTTATGGAAGGGGTTGGGGGGGGGGGGGGGGGAAGAGAGGGAGGGTGAAAGGATTTTGTAGATGTTTGAAACATGTAGGGAAATGTTTAAAAGAAAGCTGTCAACATTAGCGGTACCCAGATTTTTATTATACATGTACAGTCAGACCGCAGCGCGCGCGTTAATGAGGCTGAAAGCTGATTTTTATTCAGCGATATCTGGCGATCACATAACATTTACGTCTGCTGAATTTCCATGCGCTTTTCAGTGAGATTTGTAGGGGTGTACATGTAGCTGCGTTTTTGGTCGTTAACTTCATTCAAAATGGCAGCATGCAACGGAAAGTCACTCTCGAGATTTTCAGCATCAGTTTGATATGTAATTTGCCATATTTCGCAATTTGTAAACAATAATTTTTCACAACTTTTATTGACGTTATTTTTGTAACATTTCAACTGCTGTTTTGACCCGGGAATTTCACTTTTGGTTCCTGACTTTGGTACAAAATCAATTTGTCCACTTTGAGATTCGTTCGAAAGATGAAAAGTCACTGATCAAAAATATGTCAAAACCTAATTGACGCAAAATCATGTTCTTTTTATAATCATAGTAATTAAGACCCTAAAAACCCGGAAATTACCAATTTGTTCTTTTTATGATAGCGCGAAATTGTGTGATTTCCTACTCGTGCATGCTCGCCGTCTGAGCAATGGCAATGCATAACTGATTATTAAACTCCAGGGAGCTCCGCCGCGCCATCGACTGGCCAAAAAAAATTAGAAAAATGATTAAAAAAGAATTGTTGTAAATAAAATACGATGTCATGGCTTGTGAGGTATTTGATCTCGGTTCCTTAGATTGTTGTCAAGATGGCTTGCGCGCACGTGCATTACAGGCGCACGCCACAACGCATGGTTACCAAAATGTGGTATTCAGAATGTTAATAAACCAAAGCGAAACATATGTGACGTAGTTGACGTAGTTGACCAATCAGAACTCTCTATTATCACATCGGCAAAGTTGACTACTTTTTTTAATTATTCATGAACATGAGCGTGATCTTTTTTGGTTCCTGACTTTGGTACAGCGTAAAATATAATAATTTTGATATCATTGTAAAGAAAAATATTTATGCTTTATGCTGATTATAACATCTTCTTGACGCAAGAATGATTTCTATGTGAAAATCAGCCCTACTCTTTAGATAGATTTATCGTCGAAAAACCCCATTTTCAAGGCGAAATATCTGTTTCCAAAATATATCTAACATGATTGACATATAAGTATATAGAAAGTGCAACTTCTTATCTTTAAAATAAGACCCATTTCATGAGAAATGAACAATTATAAAGGCAAAAACTGCCGATCGGGAAGACCGTCTGCACTACTCATTACCTATGCGAGACACGTAAATTCTTGCATACGTGCTGAATAAAATAGAGGGTTTTCGCACCGGCTGCGGTCTGACTGATGTAGGTGATTAGATCCTAGACTGGGAACCAAATATTATATTTAAAGATAGACTGTCTGGAGTTTCTCTAGTTCTACATTGTAGGTAGTGAGTTAGAATTCACTCACTCAGGATTTGGTCACATTCACGTCTCATTTTATGTCTCACCATTGCTTTGTAACACTCACAAATTTCCTTTGCCCCCCCCCCCCCCCAGAATACAATATTGACCACCCCTACATCAACACAATGCATATACCGGTACATGTACAAGTATAATTCTTGCTACATCAACTGCTTTATTTTGCCATAGAGGGCAGCACCAGCCATGGGTATATTTGGCAAAGACACTTCCGGTTCCCACTAAGCACACACAAATACCATGGGTCGAGAACTGGAAAGATAAAACTATATTTTTGAAACCAATAAATTATGATTATGATGATGCAGTCAACATCAACGATCAAAGTCTGTAGAACTTAGCAGGAATTATAAATATGTTCTATCTGTGAAATTTAAACGTTAGCAGTGTCCTAGTATCAAAATTATGCAAGGAAACCTGTTTGCTTTCTAGACTTCACTGTCAGACATGATTGATTAACTGACTGACATTCTCTTTCCTTTGTTAATAACATACATGTACATAAAATGATCTGTGAAGGGTACACTTTTTGTATAAAGTATAAGTTTTTCAACTGGGTGCTCAGAAAGAGATTTGAAATCACTCAAAACATCGACATCATGGTAGGTAGAGAATAAGTCTTGGGTTCATTCCTTGCGTCTAGTCTTGTTTCAATATTCATGTGGATTTTCACGACTTTATCACAAAAATAATCACCTAGGTCATTCACAAACTTATATTTATCAGTATTACAAGGTATCAAAGGTTGTTTTTTTTACATGCTCATCAGAGACTTGACAACATTGAATAGCTCCTTTTGATTATCCTTATTTTCCATGATAAAATTTCTGTGATATTTTCTACAAGCTTTGCATTTCGAACTGACTTACATGTATAGTTGTCCCAACCACTATCGGCCCTAGTTTTCAACCAATGCTTTTCAGCCTTTCTGTTTTTCCTTTTTCTGTCCTGACACCGTCGGTATATCACGTTACTTGGGGACTTATAAACTATATATGTGCCTGTTTAGTAAAAACATGTATACATACATTGTACATGTACAGTACATGTATGTAGAAGTGTCGTGGTAGAGTGGATATGTCACCGGACTGTTGATCACAAGGTCCGCGGTTCAAGTCCTGCCGCAGCACTAATATCCTTTGGCAAGACATTTGCACTCCCCACCAAGGTGTTCTGTAAATGGGTACCCGGTAGGATGCGAAAGGCTAATGTGCTTAGATTAGCAATTGTGCGCTTGTAAAAATGAGGCCTGGCTGGAATGCTCCCCAGGGAGTGGAGAATGTGCATACAATACTTTGCATGCAGGTACATTTGTAAGCCTAAATCCGATGACCGGGGCAATAATATTTATCTGTAAATATATCTCTTTGAGAGGGCCTGCGGTCCAGGAAAGCGCTATATAAGAACAAGCTCTTATTATGTACATTGTTTTTGTAAGACTTGTCTTTAACATTTCATGTTCATTATGTAGTATTCCTTTTATTTAATTTCTTCTCATTTTTTCTCTCTTATTTGTAGGTACTAACTACCATACCAGTTCCCAGTTCATTGACAGATTTGGACTTAGATAACATTCCACAGGTAAGAGCAATGAGAAATAACCATCATTTATTGCAAGTTCTTCTTCTCCATGATGAAACCAAAGATACAATGGAGATCCATGTTCTTGATGTAAATTTCTTGGTAGTTCTTTATTTTTAGGAACACTTTACGTATCTTTACACAGTAGATAGTAACACTTGTTTAAGTATCTTTACACAGTGGATATGAAATAACAGGCTTACAGAAATTATGTTTTGATGTAAATTCTCATTCTTATTTTGACTCCACCCATCACTGTGTGTTGGCCTTTGAAGTACTAAAGTACTTTTGAGTTACTTTTGAGTTTTGAAAATGTGAAAGTCCTTGAGTTTTTGTCAGTTCAAGCTTATTATGACCCCTGTTTCCTTTAACTTACCCTCTCTAGACAGAAAGGGAAATAGGTTTGTAGTTGCACCTTGTGTGTTATGATGATGCCTTTAAAGGTAAAGACCAGTTATGGTCATGCAATTGCATTGTGAAAGAAACGTTGTGGAATCGATCATAAAAGGTTGATCATCTAGCATATAGCATCTGAAAGGTTCTGGAATCATCAAAATGATAAGAAATTTGGCCCATTCTTCATAAAGTTACAAGCTCTATACACAGAAAGATGTATATGGGACTACCCTATATCTCTCAATGACCATGAGAGAAACAAATTTACCAAATATATGAATTAGTAGGCGGTTTCCAGGCAAATTTTTTATCATCATGTATTAGTCAAAACATATTCTTTCACATGATTGGTAATGAGAGTTTCCATTTCATTTTTTGAAATTGGGGCGTTTCCAATACTGGTCTTTACCTTTAACACAAACACTTCCATAGTGCAGTTTCATTGTACAGTATGTATACGGGGCCCTGTTTCACAAAACTTTGTATCAATAACAAATGCTAAATTTCTCTGAATTTTTTTCTCTCAGCCAATCAAATGCCACAGTTTCAGTAGCTGATTTAGGTATTGTAACTTGTTACTGATGAGTGATAACAAGTTTATGTGAAACAAGGCCCAGAGATCCAGAGAAATGTGTTTGAGAAGAAAATGGGTCGATGGAGGAATTTGACATTAAAACACTGAATTAATTCATATTGTGACAAATAACACTTTACCTCTTGGCAGCCATCGTTCCTGCGTGCTTTCAATCAATATAATATTGTTGCATAATGAGCTCAAAAAAGGAAACCGACAGATCAAGAGATTCTGGACCCTGCCAAACAGGAAATAATATCTTGTCTGGGCAGTTCATGTGAAAGATGATACGCTTGTAGAGCCAAAATTCAAATTGTTTTGAATGAAAGGAAACTGAGAGTTGGTCAAAATGACCTAGAGATAGTCATGTAGACAGAAAGAGGAAAAAAGGGGGAAATGGGGAGGGGGCATGTTGATCTACAGTGTACATGGCATTTCTTGGCTAAAGAGAAATAGGCTCCCACAGTTTTTATGTTCTGTGCCTCTTTATTCAATAATATTGATGTCTGAATGCGAGATAGTGGGAATCATATTTTCTCTGAAAGACTTGATTTCTACACATTGTACGTGTACTTCACTTTTCAGCCTTTTAGAACAGCATGAGAAGAGTCTTTGCTCAAGGCTCCTCGGTGGAAAATATGTATAATTTTGTAACTGGTTTTCCCTCACATACTGTACCTCCTTTTCTAAAAACTCCTTTTGCAAATAATTTTCAGGACAATCATTCCATATTTTGTTGTTTGGCTTAATAACTTTTGATTCATTCAGAGCTCTAAAGCAACATCTCTTTTTCTTGGAAGACCATATGGTGTGTGATGAAAAAAAAAGAAAAATGAGCTTTAAAATCCTCTCATCGGCAACATATACATGTATGTTGAGAGGTTCAAAATCTTTATTTTCCATTAAAATTTACAATTTTTAAAACTTTTGGCAAAGATCCTACTCATGGTTATTGTTTTTAGAGACATTACAGTTTTTTAGAACAATGTAGCATTACATGAAAACTATTTTTGTTGCCAATTTGAAGAACAGCATGTGACCAATTTAACCCTGGCTTATAATAAATCCTGTCCTGAAAGTGAAAGAGTGAAAGAAAAACCACTGATTTCAACAAAAGACACAATGAACCCCTTAAAATGAATCCAAAGCCAGGTGGTATATTTGCTTGACATTCAACAATGGCAAGCTGGTGAACTTTGCTATCAGTCATGTTGATGATACACGCAAATCCAGGGACGTCATCACCACATCTACATGTACATGTAAATTTCACATCAAAACACAGAAAGTAAATACTGGCATATACATGTACATGTACATGTACATGTAAGACCCAAGAATTTTCTTTCACTAGGTTCTTGTTGCCCCCTCCTACATGTATTTTTCAGTATTTTTGTTTGAACATTATAATGATTTGAGGAAATCTGGACAATAAACAAAGATGAGTTTTTCCTCGTCTCGTTTTAACCATAGCAGTTCAGTAATTTAATTTAAAAAAAAATTAGTGTATAATCGACCAAGTAGGATTTGCATACTCTTGGGAAAACAATATCAAATAACATTGAATCCCCTCCTCATTTTTGAAAAATCTGGACGAAAAACTATGTTTAGAATTCAATTACCTTTGGTATACATGAAGAAAGTAATGGTTGCCCAATGCCAAGAGTTGCTTGTGGGTAAAATAAGTGTGTTTCGGTTATGTAGACATGTTTCATCATAAATGTATGTGTTGTACATGTAGTCATACCAGGGGGAAAAAGATGGAGAAGAAGAGTTCATCTTTTATGAATTCTTCTATGACGTCATCTAGTCAAGACAGAAAAACCAGTTGTCATGGATACTTACCAAAGAGAAACAAGTCACACAGTAAACATTTGTGTTGTGTAATAATATAAAGAACTTAGTGCTGCCTAAAATAGAAAAGGAAAATGGCATTGAACATGACAGCAATATTTCATTACAATTTAAAGGGACCTTGTTCATGGAAAAACGGTTGGGAAAATTCAAAAATGTTTGAGAGGATTTATTGTTAGAGGCTGTCGCACCATACAGTGTAGATATCTTTGTGGTTTGAGAATTTTTCCCCGGATTTGTTGCATGTTACAGGGTTAGTACAGTAAAAGGAATATAATAAGTCACATTTCATACAAAAGTTACAGTTTTTTGTCAACCTTCAACAATGTTACCAAGTCACTTTAAGGCCAAACGTGAGGTGTTTTGATTTAACCAAGCTCATATATGTGAAAAGCCAGCATCGAGTTAGACTCGTTCAGTACAATGTGCAGGACGTTATTCATCTCGTAATTCTCATGATTTAATTACATTGTAGATTATACATGTATACTGTACATGTATGTTGTTTCACTATTTCTTTTCCTGTTATGAGAGAAAAATATGAATAAACAGGAAACATGTTGAGATGAAAACTGATTAAAGGCTTATTTACACGAGAAGAAATATCATAAAAATAAAACCAAAATCAAAAAATTGTATGAAGATAACATTTTAACAAATTCATTTTGTTCCCAAAGTCATTTTGATTTGCTGTATGAAATTCACACAAAATTATGATCTGCAATGAATATGTATGAAATTGGTGAAATGTCAAGAGTTTATCCATATGTCAGAACAGACACTCTGTAATGTTTAATCTTCAAGGTTTGCAAATAAGGGGGATATATCTTGTATTTCTTTTATGAACTACTGTAATATTAAAGTGAAAGGTAAAAATCAAAGTAATTTGCTGTCATATGATCATGCACACCCAGGACAAGGACATTGTAATCTTACCTGGAGGCATACATGTGTTGTGTGTACGCTATATATTCTACACTCTTTTGTTGAGTGTACATTGTACATTCTTTTGTCAGTAATCTCCTAGATAATGGGTACAATGGTCAAGCTAGTCTAAAGGAAATTCCCCTTGGTAAACACAAAATCCACAGGTCATGCATTTTACAAGGAAACATTAAATTTACTGTACATAATGTCTGTGCATAAAGACTGCTTACGCATGTACATACTGTACATGTTCCTCCTTGAACTTGATGATATCAGTGGTACTGTGAAAAATATAATGACATTTTTGAGGATGCTACATGTATGGACAGAGGATGGTATCAAAATTGTTCAGACTTTTTGTTTTTCAAAATTTCAGCTTGCAGTTACTTTTTTTTTAATGGGAAAAGTTTGGTGGAGCAGTTGAGGAAGGGAAATTATTCATTACGTGGAATATGAAATCATATCATAAACAGTCGGATTTATTCCAGGGGATTTTGCAGGAAGTTGTGTTGTATTAAAAAAATAATATAGTTTCATGTGTATGATATTAAGCAGTATTAACAAAATCTTGACTTTAGACTTGTTTACGATTTCTCTATACAAGTATATGTAGCTTTTACAATTAACTTTGTGGGTAAGCTTTAGAGAGCAAATTATATTTCTAATTATACTGATACAATGAGAGTTTAGCGAAGTCAAGTGTAAAATTGCATACATGTATACACTGTACATGTATGTGTTGTAAGGTAAGGTAAGCCATGTTTGTCCTACCCTAATTTACAACTATTGTTTTCAATTTAAATTTTGACTAGTAATGTAGTATCAGTTACAATATTCCTGACAGGTGAATAAATATTTTGTATCGGTGCTTCACAGAGGCATTTTTTAATACATGTACATGTAACTACATTACAAAAATGGCCTATTATCCCAGACAAGATCTTACCATTTAATTTTACTAGGTCTTGGCCTTGTAACAAAGGAACTTGGAAGCATTAGTTTTTCCAAAATAATCTAACATTTTGCATGTTCGTGTGAATTAAAATACATGGCATGTAATTTGTGGGGCCTATCGTTTGTTATGCATTGTAGGCAGATAGGCAGACATGCACAATACTTCAGATTCTGAGAACATTTTCTGATGTTCATGTGTTCATGTTTTGTGAAGAGCTGTGCATGTTGCTGACTGTATTTTGACAGGACTTCTGAAAATCATGTGCTCCCTCAACACACAGATATTGCTGTGTAT